CGCGCCCGCTGCTGCTGCTGCTCCTGCCGCCGCTGCTGCTGCTCCCGCTGCTCGCCGCCCCCGGCGCCTCTGCCTACAGCTTCCCTCAGCAGCACACGTAAGTGGCCCCCGCCGGCCGCGGGACCCCGGCCGAGCTTTGCGCGTCCTCTTCGTCCCCCCCGCCCGCACCCCGCGTCCAGGAGGGCGGGCGGCCGCGGTCCCAGCGCTTCTGACTGCGTCGCGAAACTTCCCCGCGGTGCCCCTAGCCTCTCCCCCTCGACCCACACACAACCGGGCACAACGCGAGCTCCAGCCCCGGGCTGGGATCGGGGATCTGAGCTTGCCAGCCGATTTCCTTGCCTTGTCCGCGTGGGAGGAGCAGTGGGGTTAGATAAGGGGGTTGGCCAGAGCCCCCTGCCCAATGCCCCCTCCTCACATTCCCTCACTGGTGGAAACCTAGCACGTAGGTGCTACCTTCAAGGAGGGTGCCTCCACACACCTGCCCTCATGAGCCTTTTCCTTTGAGGGGTACCTGGATGTAGACTATACAGGGTACCTTCTTGTAGTTGCCAGAGCCATAGAGGGGGTGGGTGTTCCGTATACTTGGCCCTCCACCTGAGGGGAGAATAAACCTAGTTGGGCGCTGAAGGAACTGGGAAGGGGGGGACATCAGAAGGTGAGTGGACCCTGGTCTGTACCTGCTGCCGCCACCAAAGAACGGGCATCTCCTGGCCTTGCCAGCTTCTGCTGGTTTGGAGTCCTGGACCTTCTTGCTCTCCTTAAGAGCTTGAAAACTCAGGTGTCCTCCTCTGGGTAAGCTTGGCCAGATGTGTCTGGTGTTGGAGTGGCTATTTGGCGCATGCGGCCTTTAGAACAACAGCTGCCTCTGTGGACTCCATCCATGTCCCAGTCCTGTGTGGTGCCCAGACACCCCTTGTCCCAGTGGCTTTGGGCAGCAGTGAGCATCTTGCTGATTGTTATCCGTTCTGGGTCTGAGAAGCTACCTGTCCCTGGATCCCATCACCAATGGCCTAACCTGAGGTTTGGGACAAGAAAAACCAGGATGGTGGTGATCTAGGGGAAGGGTCCAGCCTCAGGGAATGGGAGAGGCGGGCTCTGCGTCACTAGATCAGTTGTGCCCAGGAGTAGGCACCTCTGGTCTCGCCACAGAACCTGTCGACTCCAGCTTGTAAGATGCTTCCAGAGGAAAAATAAACTCGGGAAAGGCACAGCTCTGGGTCTGTCTTGTCGTTTCTCTCTGCTGGAGCAGTCTGGCTGTGCTCGGGCGGGTGATCAGTTGGCAATTACAGGTGCCGCACAGACGTGTCCTCTGTCAATGATGGGGATTTTGTGTGTGTTTATTTGGAGTGGGGGGAGCATGGAACAGGGAAAAGAGAAACATATGGAAGTTCAAGGCTGGTGGGTGTGTTGTCTTTCATTTGCTGTGATGAAAATGAACTGAAACCACCACACAGTGTTTTAAAAAGAGCAGAAGCATTATTTGGTTGTCATTCTTCCTGAAAGCCAAGCCACAGATCTTCCCCCCACTCCCCCATTTCATAGCTCCTGAGTGAAGGTTTAAGTAGATGTGTCCTTTCACCCCTGCCCGCCTCGCTCCCTCTCCCTGCTGCCAGCTGTGGGTTTGATAGCTGCTGGGTCTGCTGGGGTCCCCCACTAGAAGCCCAGGGTGACACCCTGACCAGAGTGGACACCTGTCCCTCTCTCCCCAGCCAGAAGATGGCGAGGCGGGTGTGACGGCAGCGGCACAATTCCAGCTGGACGCTGGCTTCTTGTCGATGTAGTTGGAGCTAATTTGAGGGTTTGGGACATGTCTTGCAAACCATAATTAGGGAGCGGGAGTGGGGAAGTGAGGACTGCGGAGCTCCGAGGGTCTGGGGGGAGGTGACAAATGGTGTGACGACGCAGCAGGTTTGCCATGACAGCCAGCGCCCTTCAGTTGCCCTGGTCCCCGCAGATGTGAATGCCCATTGATCCCAGGAGAGAGGGAGGGGAGGGAAGCAAGCCAGCCCCCAGCCCCGTATGCCTGTGACTGCTTAGAGTTGGGGCTTTTGTTGAACTGACGTGAAAGGCTGAGGCTGCCCAGGGAGAGGGACAAGGGGACACGAGGGCTCTGTGAGGCTGCTCAGGGCCAGGTGGCCTCCCTGAACCCTCTCCGGGTCTTCGAGGGCAGACCAGTCTCTGGCAGAGCAAAGCTGGACTGGCTGAGGTTTCAACACAGGTGGTTTTCTGAGGTGGGGAAGTGGGACCCTCCGCCTCCTGGTACTGGGGGGACAAGCCCTTAGTGGGGAGGGCTCTCATGAGATGTCTGGCAGAGTGATGGGGTGAGACGGTGCTTGGCTTCGCAAGTTGCTGTGTTTCATGCACGCACAGGTTTGGGGTCTGGTCGTTGCTGGGATCACTCTGGCGGCGAGGCTGTCTGTCCACCAGACAAGGGGACTGAAGCTACCGCTGTGTTGAGGACAGAGTAGTGACCGCTGGGGGGGGGCAGGGCTTTGGCATAAAGGTAGGAAAGGACCTCTCGCCCAACGTGGACCTGGATCAGGGTTGCACACAGGACACATGTGTGTAAGCGTGTGCGCACGTCCACGTGCGTTCATGCACACATGTGTGTGTCTGCGGGGGGCCAGGGGAGATGGAGTCGGAGCACACGCACTCCCTTAAACCTGCCTCCTCCTGTTCCCAGTTATGCCCACGCCAACCACCAGAGCCACGCTGATGCTGGCTGAGGGGCAGCCCCTCTGCTTTCCCTCCCCTGCCCCCACGCCTGGATCTCTCATCTTTTCTTCTCCCACATTTGTGTCCCTGTGCCCATCCGGCCCTACCAGCCTCTTTTGTCTGATTATTTGGGTCTCTGCCCCTCCTGTCTTGGGCATCCCCCAGTTTCTCTGGCTTTTACTCTGAGCTGCCTGCTGGCCAACCCCTTGGGCCCGGTTCTGCCTCCATTCTGGTGCTGACTAGCGCCTCCCTCCCTCAGGGTAAGCAGTGAGGGGCCTCAGGGGCCCACACCCCAGCAGATTAACGAGGGCAGGAGCGTGTGCGCCTCTCTGAGGAGACACACGGGGAATGGTGCCCGTGATGGGGCCTGCGTCAGTCTGGCTGCAGTTAATGGTGGGTGACGTGTGTCTGTCTGGGCCCCCAAGCCCATCTTCGCTTCCCTATGGCTCTCCTTGGTGGGAGGTGGAGGGTAACACCACACACCTGGGTCCCCTCTCCCCAGAAACCTACTGCAGCGTCTCCAGGAGGGAGGGGATAAGGCTTCTGCCACTGCACTGGGATGTGAAGCTGCAGGTGCCCAGACCTCTGGGTGTCGAGGGCCGCTGTCTGGGTCCCCCTCACCAGCCCCCTCGTGGGCAGCTGAGTCAAACTAACCCCCAAGCATCGAGGGGGCCAAGTCCCTTCATTGACTACGAGGTGGGTTTCACTTTACGTTCTTTGTCACACCCGGGCCCCTTGAGGAGACTGACTCCACCTTGCCCCACACCACACCATGGTATGACCATTTCTCCGGTCACTACCTCCTTCTCCTTTCTGCCTGTGTTCAGGTGGAGGGCACAGCTTGGGGTCATGCCAGGCATTAGATGTAGGCCCCGTGGACTCAAGCTTTGTCTTCACTAGGATGACCTTGCCTCATTTTCCCCAAGAGATCTAGTTAAGAGGCAAGTGGTAAGGATCAGTGGGAAGGTGTAGCACCTGGTGGGCAGAGAGAGCTCTGTCACTGGACAGAGTGGGTGTTGTTACTGTTGGCTTCAGCCCTTAGTGGAGTACAGCCATGAGCCTCCACTTGCCAGTGTTCTCTTAGCAGTGTTGTCGCTGTTCTTTGCTCACACTATCCCCTCACCACTGCCAAGCTTTCTTCAGGTGAGAGCTCATAGTCTTGCCTTCCACAGGCCTCCCCTGTTCTCGCTGTGGGCTGTGAAATTTGCTCATGGCAGTGCCTGGCCATGTGGGGTACCAGTTTCCAGATGAGAGACACAAGCCCACTCCCTTCTCTCACTTTCCCAGGGCGAGCTTGGCTGTGATGGGGGACTCTGTCAGGCTGATGATGGCCTCCGTCCTTTGAAACTAAACCCCTCACCCATATTACCAGCTCTGAACTCAGGAGCCTGTGGAGTGGTAAATAGTCATGCCCATTCTACAGATGAGGAGACTGAGACTCAGAACAAAAAATTAAGAGATCTGCTCAAAGCCATGATTCTTGGAAGCAGGACTGGGAGAGGACCTTAATTTGTTAGACGCTTAGCTGCCTGCCAGAGAACTGGGGACCTCTGGACAGTGGGCCCAGGAAGCAGAGGCTCAAAATCTGAATCTATGAGAAGATAAAGAGTCCTGGGATCAGAATGATATGTCTAGGCCTCCCAGCTCTTTTTGATTCCCGCTCTGTCCCTCTGTTTTCTTCTGGGTCTTGGGCAACCTTGGGGCTGTTCGTGGCTCAGGACTCCCCTTCCAGCCTGGTGTTCATAGCCCAGAGCCCATCTCCACCCACATGCCTGTTCACATGAGCAGTGATGGAGCCTGACCCACACTTTTCTCTCCTCTGGGTCTTTGAAATGTGGCCTGGCCTGCCCAGCAGACAGGATGGGGAGGAACAGGAGGACTTCTTCTCCAGATTCCAGTTGTGATTTGAGAGAGAAGGATCAACGGGCCATTCATGGAAACCTCAGGCAATTTCTCCTGATCTGAGGGAATCCAGAGAACTTGGGCCTTGCCTATGTCTGGGTTTTCTGAGCATCTGGACAGGTGAGGTCTGGGGTGCTGGAGAGCTTGCTTCTAAGAAACTCTTTTTAAGGAGCAGCTGGAGATTGAGAGTCAAAGGAGGTGGACATGGGCCATGTCCAGGAGAGTGTCATCATCTGTGGGCTAGGAAGTGGGCTGGGCCTCTCGCTCTGTCTCTGCCCCCAACTGCCATACACACACAACCCCTCCCTTGGGCCCTTACCGCTGCTGCTGTCCTTGTCCAGCACCTTCAAAGGCCATTCTGGGCTTCCCTGATTCTAGCTTTGTTTCAGGACTTGGGAATTTGTGGCTTTAATTAGCTGGGTGCATGGCCTGGGGGGGGGGAGCATTGGAACCTGGAGTACCCCAAAGACAGAGTTGCAG